TCCTAGCCAGGCCTCTGCCCCGTTTCTTTGCGCCAGGGCCTCAGCCTCGGCCTAATGTTAGGCGATTTTCTCCCTGACCACCCACGCCCCTGCGTCCGTCCACTGGACACAGCCCCTCCACAACCTCGAGGGCGACCCCTGCGCTCACTTCCCATTGGGCGGGGCGTGGTGGCTCGCCCCTTACTCGGCTTGGTCCCGCCCCCCAGGTTGTGTGGGGACCTCTGCCCGGGGGCCCTGGGACGTATGCTGGGGACCCTGGAGTTCCAGGTGGTCGACGAGGTGCTGGGGCTCATCTATGCACAGACTGTGGTCTGGGTGGGGAGTTTTTTCTGCCCTCTGCTGCCCCTACTCAACACGGCCAAGTTCCTGCTGCTTTTCTATCTGAAGACGGTAAGGGACGGGTGGTTCCTGGGTGAGGCAGGCCACGGTCCGGGTCCTGGGTGAGGTGGGGACTGAGGGACGTGACTTCAGGGCCCTACAGGATAAGGATGCTTGGGCCCCAGATACTGGGTCCCGAGAGGAGGGCGTCTGGGTGTGGGAGAAGGGGTGTGGGTCATCCTGACCTCTAGGTTTGAGGGAAGAGGGATCCTGATCCTGGGTCTGATGGTGGCAAGAAATGAGGACTCCTGGGAGGGGGCCGGGGGCCTGGGCTGGGGAAAAAGGGGAGGCCGGAGCTCACGCTCGCCCCTCCTTCCCCCCCAGTTCACGCTCTTCTCCACCTGCTCCCCGGCCTCGCGCACCTTCCGGGCTTCCACTGCGAATTTCTTCTTCCCTCTGGTCCTCCTCCTGGGCCTGGCCCTCTCCGCTGTTGCTGTACTTTACAGCATCTTTCTGTAAGTGTGGGAGGGGCTGCCCCCTCCCCGCGCCTGCCTCCGCCCAGGCGCTGGCTGACTGTGCGCACACCTGCCTCTGACCTCAGGATTCCACCTTCCAAGCTGTGTGGGCCATTCCGGGGAGAGCCATCCATCTGGGCCCAGATCCCTCAATCTATTTATGGCCTCCCTGAGTCTGCCCAGGACTTCCTCTTCTTCCTGGGCACCCAGGCTTTTGCTGTGCCCCTCCTGCTGATCTCCAGGTGAGGCGGTCCAGACTTTGAGGTCTGAGTTTGAGCGTGTGGGACCTGGGGCCCCGGCCTCAAGTGTGCTAAGGGAGGGAGCACGGGGGTCTGGGCTCCCGGTCAGAGAGGAGTGGCGTGGAGACTGGACTCCGGGTGTGAAGTCAGAGACCCAGGCCCGTGCTTTCAAGAGCATGCACGCCGAGGCGCCCGGAGGCGTGTCTGGGAGTGGTGGTCGTTCCGTGTCCTCCAGCATCCTGATGGTGTACACGCTGGCGCTGGCGAACTCCTACGGGCGCGTCGTCTCTGAACTCAAACGGCAGATAGAGACGGTGAGCCGCGGGCCCGAGAAGGGCTCCCCGGGCCGCGGACGGGCGGGACTCGGGAGAGCGAAGTCTCACGTCGGCCCCCCCCCCCCCCGCAGGAGGCCCAGAATAAAGTCTTCCTGGCGCAGCGCGCGGTGGCGCTGAGCTCCGCCCCGGCGCCTCGCTGACCGCCCAGAGCGGCGGGGATGAGGTCCCGGGCCGACTGCTCCATCAAACGCGAGGGCCGGAGAAGAGCCGCGCCTTGGCACCGGCGACTCGGAGGGGCCCGGGCCCAGCAGCCCGCGCGCGTCCCGCTGCCCGCGAAGCTCCTCCCAGAGTCAATAAACACGGCGGAGGCGGCCGCGTGGGTTTGGAACCGCGCACGGAAGTCCGAGGGGCGCGCGCCTACTACGGGGTGGGCGGGGAGACCGGCAGGCGTGCCAGCCAATCGGAAGCCGAGTCCGTAGCGTCAGGGGCGGGGACGCTCGCGAGTCTCCTCGAGCCTCGGGAGGAGGCCGTCGCTAGGTAGCAACCTACGCCCTGCGCCGACCCCTGGCGAGGGGGGAGCGCTCAGCCAATCAACGCGCGGGGCGGGGAGCGTGCCAACCAGCCGGGACCAATCCCGGGGCGGGGCGGGGCAGCAGGAAGCGCCAGCTTCTCACCAATCGGAAGTGCTGGGAGGTGGGTCTGCCGGTCCGTGGACTCCTCGGCGCCATGAATATTTTGCCCAAAAAGAGCTGGCACGTCCGGAACAAGGACAATGTCGCCCGCGTGCGGCGTGACGAGGCTCAGGCCCGGGAAGAGGAGAAAGCGCGCGAACGGAGGGTGCTACTCGCGGAGCAAGAGGTAGCTCGACGGCCCGCCGCGGGGCCCCCGGGCTGGGCACGCAGGCGCGTCGTGGGGGGCCGGAAGTGGGGGCCGCGCGCCGGCCCTCGGCCGGTGGGTGCCACAGCGGTGCCGGCTGCCCGTGGGCCTGGGCCCCCCCGCGTGGACACGCCTCGACCGGCCTCGCGTCTCGTTTGCCTCCGCTCGCGCGCCTCCGGCGGCCAGAGCAACACCTGGCGCGGGGCGGGGGGCGGTGCTCGGCGCGAGTGTGCGCGAACCCGCGGCAGCCGGAACTCGCCGTGGGGCGCCCTTCGGGTTGCGCCTCCGACCGTGGGGCGCCCTTCGTGTGCTCACGCCGCGCGAAGTGCGTGGCCTGCAGCTTTCCTCAGTTACCGTCCGCCCCTTCAGCGGCGCGGGGCTTGCTATGGAGAATGAGCTGGTGCCCGGGAGAGGAAGCCGCTGGCGGGCACCACCGGCCCGCCCCGCCCCGCCCCGCCCGGCTTTCCCCTGCGCCCCCACCACTGCCGGGACTTCGTGGCCCCTCCTAACACGTTTAGTTTACTCGTAGCTCGCAATCCCTTAGGTAACGTGAGCCTCACGCTGGCCGTGTGGATTTAAAAAGTTGACATATTCGCAGAAACTCGGATCTTTCCGCAGTGACTTAGAACTCTGCCTGAATAGAAATTACTGGGCCTAAAACGCAGCGTGGCTGCTCCACAGCTGCTCTGTGCTGCAGGCATTGGGAAGCTCTCTGGTCTGTGGCTCGGGCTGCAGCTAACAAGCCCTGGGCAGCCTTCCTCCCGCACCCACTCGGGCTGGGTCAGCGAGGCCCCCGGGCTCCCCCTACCTCTACTCCCTCGTAGCCTCAGCATCATGGACTGAGGTTTCCTGGGGTTTGCACTAGATCCGCAGCTCCTCGCGTCACATCTTGGTTCTCAGTGTGCCACCTATAACTTCCCTTCCCTCCAGGCTCGCACGGAATTCCTTCGGAAGAAAGCCAGGCATCAGAACTCTGTATCTGAGCTAGCAGCAGCAGAGGCAGGAGCCTCAGGTTCTGGCCCGGTGGACCTGTTCCGGGAGCTGCTGGAAGATGGGAAAGGTGTGACCACAGGCAATAAAGAGTATGAAGAAGAAAAGCGACAGGAGAAAGTAAGCTAGCTGAGCCCACTTCCTCGGTAGGGAGAGCGCTCTTGGGTGTGACAGGATTGGTGGGGAGCAAGCAGGCTGACAGCATGTGGAAAGGCAGCAGTCTTGACTGCGTTCAGGAAGCTTCTGTGATGTCATCCAGGCCCGCACAGGGCTCGGCAGATGTTGGAGCCCACCCTCCGGAATTCAAGTCAGGCCCTTGATGGGACTTGATGGTTCCTATCAAATTCGGCATTTGCCTCCATACACATCCGTTACTCCTTTCAGGTTTTGTCCCCAAGTGTCTCCCAAAATGCATCCCTCCCCCGGGTCTCCCTTCTGGTTCTTCCCGAACCTGAACCTGCCTCAGGACGATCTGTTGTGTCCCTACCCCTGGCAGTTGGCTCAGTGACTGCTTTGCCTCTCCAGCAGCCTTGCGTATCCCCATGGTCACATCCAGGGCTCCTAAGGAAGCTACACTTGAACTTGACATTCTCTTTCCTATCATCTGAACCGTTCAGGAGAAGCAAGAGAAAGCTCTGGGCATCCTGACGTACCTGGGACAGAGTGCAGCGGAAGCTCAGACCCAGCCTCCTTGGTACCAGCTTCCTCCAGAGCGAGGGGGCCCCCCACCTGGCCCAAGTCGAGATGACAAAACCAAGAACCACCTAGACCCTCTGCGCGAGATGCAGAAGCATTTGGGGAAGAAAAGGCACAGCAGTGACGATGGTGGTCGCAGCAGGAAGGAAAAGCGGGCCCTTGAGAAACAGCAGCCCAAAGCGTAAGCAGAGCGCTGGGCTCCAGGCCTGGGTGATGGTTGTGTGGGCCCTGCGGGCAGACTGGTCAGCTGACGGGGTGAGTGGCCTGGTGTCCTCGCAGTGCCCGGCTGCCCTAAGAGGTCTTCGATATCACGCCTGTTTCCGTACCACCCCCAGCCTTCTCAGCCTTGTCAGGCTCAGGGGCGGACTCCTCTCTGCTGTCAGAGAGCCGAGGGCGCATCTGGTTGTCTGTCAGGTTTCTCACTTCCTAATGAGACAGACATTAGCAGATAAAACCCAGAGTCAGCTCTGGGGGGGCTCTGGGTCCTCGCTTTCAGATCAGTTGAGAACAGGCCTAGAGCCATGCAGGCTTGTGTGCCGAGGGCGAGTGCGGCCCACAGGCTCCTGTGCAGAGGCTGCGGCCCAGAGGGCGTGGCATCCTGCGGAACACAGGCTTGCAGAAGGGGAGGCCCCGAGCCTTGTACACATGCAAGGAAACTTGCGCAGACAGAGGGTCTTGGGGACCTCCCAGGGCCACCAGCTTTCTGACCCGGCCTCTCTTCTCCCAGATCCCCTTCCCTAGAGCAGCTTCGAGCTGAACGGCTTCGGCGGGAAGCAGCGGAGAGGGCTCGGGCTGAGGCGCTGCTGGCCGGGCTCAGAGGCAGGGTGCCCCCGGAAGAGCAGCCAGAAGAGGAGGCAGACGATCGTCGCAGGCGATATAATTCCCAGTTCAATCCCCAGCTGGCGCGGCGCCCCCGCCGGCAGGAAGCCCCACTTGCTCACTGAGTTCTGGGGTGGGTACAGGACAGGCCGCTGCTGCCAGCCTTCATATAAAACTATTTATTCATAAATATTTTCCAAAATGAAAATAGGTTTACCAAAAAATGTCCCTCACTGGGGAGGGGAGGAGGGGGCAGCCCTCGCCCCCGGACCCCCAGGCTGGGACTGAGAGAATACCTCTCAGCCCCCTCCCTGCTTCCTGGGGGAGGGGGCTGCCCCAAGGCTTAGGGCCTCCCCTGTCTTCCAGGGCAGGGCCCTCGCTGGGCAGGGGATCAGCATGCGGGGGGTGGGGGGGACCGTGGGAGGGGCCGGTGTCACTGGAGGTCCCGGTCCTCCAGGTAGCGGTACTCAAAGGTGAAGCCTTCCTTCTTCCGCTGGCCCCACTTCTCGTAGTCAAAGTAGATGTAGGTGCCCTGGCCAGGGGAGAAGGCGGTCAGTGAGTGGACGAAGAGGTGGCCAGGGATCTGGGCCACACTGACAGACAAGGGACAGTTCTTAGGGCCAGCTTCACTCTCCCGGGAGCTTCTGGGGTGGAAGGTGTATCAGCCTGTTTGGAGAAGCTGCAGAGGTCATGCCCAAGGCTGAGAGCCAGGCCTCGCCCGGGGCGCGTGTGCCGAGCCTTCCCCTGCTGCTCGAGACTCCAGAGCTTTCTCCTGAGCACCAGCATTTGGGCTCTGCAGCGCAGACAGGCACTGCCCTCGGTGGGAGGGGCTCAGAACCCTGGGGGCGGGGGCTTTCTTGGGCAGTGTAGCGCTGTGGGGGATGACCTGGACCGAACCAGGGTGGGACAGGAAGCTGCAGTGAAGTGTCAGGATGTGAGTGGGAACCGGGCTGGCTTCTCCATGCAGGTTAGTCTGAAACGCTCTTAAGAACTTGAAAGAGCCACGGGGAAGGGCCTGAGCCCCGAGGACAGCCTGCGCGGCCCTTGGCAGCAGAGAAGCCCACCATGGACACCCCAGCTAATCCGAAACGAGACGCTAACGTCCGTGACGCTCACTAGGCAGCAGGCAGCACGGAGCACTCGCTTGTCATTTACTCATTTAATCCTCGTAACTGCAGGCGCCCAGTCCTGTCACCCCATGTTTACACAGCAGGAGATGGAGACACAGGTGCAAGTAACGCCCAAGGTTACCAGGGAGATGGTTCGGGCCCAGGTGTCTGCCCGGGCGCTAGCCTTCCCGCTATGCCTGCTGAGCCCCTGCTCTGCGGGGGCTTGTGGGACCAGAGCCCATCTCCCGAGCGGGGCTAGGGCCGACAGGACAAGGAGTCAGCCGGGTGCTCAAGGACGAGGCCCATGTCCCAGGCAGAGCAGTGGGCCTGAGGGAGTGAGCTGGCTAAAGGAGAGGGTGCAGGGTGAAGTCTCCCCCGACTACCCCATGAGGTCAGGGGTGTGGGGCACAGGAAGGGGCCCTCACCTGCTCAAACTCATCAGTGATGGTCTTGGGCTCCTCATGCCTCTGGAACCACATCATGTACTTGGTGTGGAATCGCCACGACTGCTTCTTCAGGGCCTTGGCTGCCAGGTACTGCGCCTTAGTGCCCTGGGAAGGAAGGGCAGAGCAGGGGTTAGCGAGCCCCTGCATGGGGTAGGGGCCAGGGTACCAGGCCCGGACCTGAGGGTGTGCTGGACAATCCTCTGGACGGGCCCGGGCCACAAAACATACCCCTGCTGGTCAGAAGAGAAATGAGGCTGAAGAGGGAATGGCTTTCAGAGCTTTGAAGAAAACTAAGGGGCGAGGGGAGCTAAGGGAGGCAGTTCAGCCAGTTCCCGGGGCTCCAGAGGTCTAAGGATGCACCGAGCAGCCCTTCGGGGTGGGGGCCGTGGGCCCTGTGAGCCAAACTAGCTCAACCCGAGCGGTTTGCGTGTCCTGGCCCCAAGTGGGCCCGGGGCCGGTCTAGTTCGGGTGGGGGCAGGGAGGGGGTGCGGTCCCAGTGGCCGCAGTGGGACACCCACCTCACCCCTCCAGCCCGAGGGGGAGCGGCGGCGGTGGCGGCGAAGCCGGGGGGCCCGAGGCTGCCCCGGGGCCCTGCTGTACCTCCAGATAGTAGAAGATGAAGAAGAGCGTCTCGGTCGACAGGCGCTGGTAGAACTCCACAGTGTCCGAGTGTGGGGGTGGCATCTGGTGGTGGTAGGGGGGCGTCGGACAGGGGTTCCTGGGGAGGTACTGCCTGCGGGGGGACAGCAGCATTGGTGCTTGTGCCCTAGAGCTGCCGGCCCCAGCACAGCCTGCCGGTGGGTAGGCAACACCTGGCTTTCGCGTCCACGAACGGGCGCTCCTGGGCCCGTCGGCCTCCACTTGGTCTCCGTCCCCGCCGCTGCGTATGGACCCAGGGCCGAAGCCCACTGTTTGCTGAGCCCAGCAGGTCTCCTTAAACCCCAGGCTGGCAGCCAGCCGCCCGTCCAGCTCCGCCCTCAGGTTCCCGGGCCGGCCCCGCGGTGGCCAGCCCCGCTGTGGCCCCTCACCGGATACGCTCGGAGTCCGAGGGGTGGGGCATGTGGTGCCAGGCGGCCTCCTCCATGGCCTGCTGGTAGAGCTGCTCCTTGGTGAGGGGCACAGGTCCCAGTGGACACACCCCCAGCGAGAGGGGTATGTTCACCTCTGACAGCTGGAGGGGTGGCTGGGCCGAAGCTGGAGGGGCCGACGTGCTGCTCAGGATGATGTCTGCAGGGAGGGGCGGGGCCAGGCCCCACAGGTGAGGCCAGCCCGGCCGAGCCCTCCTCGCCGGCCCCCACCCACCAGCCCCAGCCCTCACCACGTTCAGTCAGGTGCAGCGTTGGCACAGGGTCCTCAATGCCGGAGCTGATGGCTGCCCGCTCCGCCATGGACTTGAGAGAGCTCAGAGGTTCGGGGGCCTGTGGAGGGAAGCAATGCCTGGCCTCAGGCCCAGGGACGTGCGGCCATCTGTAAGTAAGGACGCTCGCCAGAGCACGACAGCAAGGGAGAGCAGGCGCACCAGGCACCCCCAGCTGCGGTGCGCCGTGTGTGCTTAACGTGTCCACCACACCCCAACATGCACAAACGCTACCGCAGTGTCTCCGGCCCCTGAGTGCACCCTGGGGATGCCAACACGTGGCCAGCTGCAGTGGCACTGCCGAGAACCAGGGCCTCTGCCGCCTCCAGAGCCGCTCCCTTCAGCCCTGCCTGGGAGAACAGCGGGGCCACTGCTTCAGACAGCAGGGGGGTGCACCAGCCTCTGAACAAGCTCCCTCTGGAGGGGCTGCTGGGTCCCCAGGCCCCAAACCCGAGGAGCCATCGACCACCCGTCGGAGGCCTAGGGACTAAGCCGACATGTAACCGTGGCCAGTCAGACCTGTTCCAGGCCCATCGTCAGCCTTTAGGTCACTGCTGAGGGTGTGCGCCCCCTTGAGACTCAAAGCTGACCTCTTTCTCCAGAAAAATGCACACCACGAATTTCCTGCCCACCGTATTTTGAGAATTTGCTCACTGCGGGATGGAAACTGTGCTGAGGCCGTTTAGTTTCCAAAGACGCCATGTGTAAGGGGTGTATCTGTGCGCTAGATGCAGGCAGGCATGGAGGGCGGCTCAGGAGAGCCAGTCAGCTGGGCGCACACACCCTGCCTCCCACGGAACCAGAATGACCCGTTGGCCCAGAGCCAGCCCCCCCACACCGCCTGGCCCTCAGGCCCTGCCGCGGCCTGCTGCCCTGCACTCTGCCCTGTTTGACTCCTGCCCCAGCTCTCTGGGCCCTGCCCCCCACTGCTGCCCCCGGCCTTGCTGGGCCGTCCTCCAAGTTGGCCAGACGTGCCCGTGGGACCACCGCACCCCCACTGCCTCCTCCCCAGCTCAGCATGTAACCATGAGGGCCCCCGAGTATCCTCTTGGCTGGGGACTTGGGCTCTTCGAGGGGAAAGGAGATGAGCTGGGAGGGGCCGGGTACAGCAGAGAGCACGGTTGCGTCTTAGAAGGGGAGATGGTGGCGCAAACCCAGAGCCAACGAGCAGGGCGACAGGCCAGAGGCGGAGCGAGGACCGCCAGAGAGCAGGGGGCGGGTGGAGGTGGGCCAAGGAAGACCCCAAGGGAGAGCGGCGTGTGCAGACGGGCCAGGGGGCCAGGCGCCCGCGTGGCCTGGAGGGACGGGGAACACTCGGAGCCAAGCTGCAGCCCAGGACACAGGCCCACCTTGATGTCCGGCGCGGTGCTGAACTGTGGAGGGCCGTTGAGCAGGGCGCCGGCCGTCTTGGCCTCACTGAAGCTGGGTGTTGGGGAACTGGGAGGGTTCACGGGAAGTGGCACTAGGAGGCTGGGTCCCCCAGAGTTGTTCCCTGAGCCTGGGGCAACGCCCCCAGCCCCCGTTGGGGCTGCCGCACTGGGTTCCTTCCTGGGGAGAAGGGGAGTAGTCTTCAGAGGAGGGCCCGAGAGCAGGGCGGAGAGGCCTGGGAGACGGGCGGGCCGGGGGACACAGACGGAGAGCGGGGCTCTCTCGGGCACAAGTGGAACCAGCCTTGAGACCTACTTCAGAGCCCATCCAGTGGCCGAGAGTGTGCGGGAGGCTCCAAAGATCATACAGGGCCAAAGGCCAAAGGCCGGCTGGCTCCTGATGGTCACCAGGAGGCCGGCCTCCCGGAGCGCTCCGGGGGTGTGCGAAGCGAACGCTCCACTCGTGAAAGGATCCGCCCCAGCTAGGCAGCTGCAGGCAGACCTCGGGCTGGCGGTCGCCCGGGGACAGGCCCTCCCCGCACGCCACAGGTCAGGCTCTCGGGGCATTCTCCCGGGAAACGGGGGCCTGCTGCAGGGGCTGCACCCAAGATGCGGAGGCTGTCTGGGAGAAGGGAACCCGGGGTCCATCTGGAGAAGTGGACACGGACCGCCCCTGGGGCAGCGAGCCCTGGGAAGGTGACGGACTGGGCAGCAGTGTAAAACGAAGCTCTTCCAGGTCGGCAAAGTCTGCGCCATGCAGCACCCCACGAGGCGTGCCCCCCAGAGGGCCGCCTCTAACACTCCCAAGGGCAGACGTCCCAGCCAGAAAGCCGCGGGAACGTGGCGCCCCACCAGGCGGGCATGTCCGGCGGCAAGGGCAGGACCTGCCCTGGAGACAGGGTCTCCAGCAGGGCAGCTGGGCGTCGACGCCAGAAACCGGCCTCCAACTCCGCGGGTCAGACACTCACGAGGTGCTGGAGGGTGCGCTGTGGGGGCCCGGTGGGGGGCCCAGGGGCTGGCCACCAGAGTTGCCGCCGCCGCCGCCGTTGCTGCTCCTCCTCTCCCTGTCGCGCGCGGGGGGGTTGTTTCTGGCTCCTCCAGAGTTGCCGCCGCCGCCGCCGTTGCTGCTCCTCCTCTCCCAGTCCTGGGTGTCCCTGGCGCCGCTGCAGCCGCTCCTTTACGGTCTGTATGAGGAGGAGGAGGATGTGAAGATGGCGGAGCTGCAGATGCTGCTGGAGGAGGAAATCCCGGGGGGCCGCCGGGCCCTCTTCGACAGTTACACTAACCTGGAACGGGTGGCTGATTACTGCGAGAACAACTACATCCAGGTGCGGTGCCTTCCCCGGCCTGGGCACGCCGGGCCCGGATTGGGGAAGGGCGCGCGCTGGAGCCCCGGGCCGGTGCCGTGCTCTTGGGGCGTGGGGCACGCGGGGCCGAGGCCTCGGCGTGGACACGGCCCCGCTCAGCCCCCAGTGGGGTGAGGGCAGCCCCCTGCGAGCTGAGACTGGTGGTGAGAGCTGGTGGTGCACGGGTGAGAAGCCTCCGTTTGGAGGAATTTGTAGCTTTAAAACATTTTTAAAAGCCAAGATGATTCTAGGTGCGGTGTGTGTCGTGTCCCCGCCTCCTCACGGCTCCGGTCCTCGGTCGCCGCCTCCACTCGGTGCGGGTCAATATTCGGGGTGGCGGAGGAGGAGGGCAGCATTTTCTGTTTGACAGACTCCTGCTCCCCCTACCCCACCCCCCGCCTTCGCCGCTCCCCCGGCAGGGTGTGTTTTGTGTGTGTGGGGGGGGTGGGGGGGGTAAAGGGGTGTTGATGGATTCACCACCTCCCCCAAGCTTTGGAGGATTTTAAAAGGGTTCTGTTACTGCAGAGTAAAGTACCTTAGTTTTCTATCCGTGTGGATGCCCTAGAAGGCCGGTTGTTGTTGGTTCGTTGGT